AAGAATATAATGATTCATTCATTATCTCTCATTAGTTAGAGGGGAACGGTATATATTTTAATCACTTTTTGTAATCATTTAGATATATTCTTTATCAAATTAAAAATTGAAAACATTGTGACAAAGACCTCTGAAAAATATTTACAAATTTAGGGTGGACAATTGACGTGAAATTCAAATATATAGAGTTCATTCGCCTATAGTTTTTAAAAAGTGGACTTATCTTTTATTGCAATTGAATAAAAAAATTATACTCGGTAAATATTGTTTAAAACTACTCAATTATTAAACAATAAAATCTACGATGTTTAAAAAAATAATTTTTTGATTTTTTCTTTGCATGACAAGTACCCCTGAAAATTACTGAAATTTTTTTGAAGGCGTAAATTGTAATTACATGACTGTATCATTCCTTGTTTAACTGCCTGCACTACATTTAATAACAAAGAACATGTCATGAGCTTTTGACTGATTGATAAGCAGGTGCTAATTTATCATTATGAAAAGTTTGAAAATCTTGTGACAAAGACTTTTCCGACATAGGTTCTACCTCAAGTATACAGTTAATTAAGACAAACCACTTAGTTTAAATTCAATCAATGAGAGAACTGATCATTTTAGCAAAAGAAGGAAGGTGTTTAAAAATGTTACTTGTTATGTTGCCCAGTAATAGCAATTTTGAAAAGAGATGTGTTTTTAATTAAGCAATTTGCTGTCAAAGACTTCTGATTTGCACTTTGAAGAATAGTGAATATTTGAACAATAAAATAATCATTTATACCTAATATATGATTTACTTTAATAAAAAGAAGGCACTCATTCTCTTTCCACCTTGAATAAACGTCTCCCCGTAGACGGAAGATTTGGATTTAATGGTCGCCATGCTTATTTTTGGAAAAGATATTTATATCAACCCATTCTGTTGCCAAGATTTGACCACTTCTGACAAATAAACCGTTCTTTTTATAAAATAACTTACATGTAAATTAATTTAAAATTCAGAAAAATCATTAAGCTTTTGTGGCAGAGCGCTATGGAAGGGGTCACGTGTCCGCCTATATCACGTGATTCGCGCATGAGCAGTACGGTGGTTGATGTGCATTAAAATTAGGGAGGCATATTTAAAAAATAATCAACAGTGAAACCAAACATGTTTTTTTTATGGGGGTTATTCAATTAGTTCGCGAACTTTTTGATCACCCTTCTTATTAGTGATCTTTTTGTTTAAATTATTATTCAGGAAGACAGCTCAATTTCTGGAGGGTCTAGAAGCAAATTCTTTGCCAAAACAATTGAAGGGTTTTTGAGAGGAAGAAACCAGGGTCAGGAATCCACTACATTAAATCTCTTTACACCTTGTAGAGTTAAAGTGTGTTGGGGATAATCAGAAAGTTTTGGTTTTGTCACACCAGCAATATATGCGTCAGATCTGTAACCCTTTGACTTTGTTCAATTTTCCAAACTTGAAAATCACACTTTTCAGAAAAAAAGAGTCCAGGAAATCATAGAATCTGCTATATTCCAGAATATTAAGTGGCATTCAAGAAAATAAAACTAAAAATTCGATAAAAAATTTACAGATATGTGTTTTAATTAAAAAAATAATATTTCAGTTAAATCAATAAGACTAAATTATTAAAAAAACGTTTTTTTTGTTCTTTCTGAGCAGGGAGGATATTATTTATTGAACAGTTCTCTTATGGAAAATCAAAGTTTTCAAACTTATCACTATAGTGTCCTAGTTACATTGTTTTACTATAGTAAATCAAGGAATCGAAATGTTCACTATAGAAAATCAACATTTTCAAAGTTATCACTATGGTAAATCAAAGTTTATACCATAGTAAATCAAAATTTTCATAGAAAACACCATCATGGTAAATGAAAGTTTTTATAGTCATCACTTAATTTAGTGAATCAGAGTGTCAAATTTATCAATAAAGTAAATCAATATTTTCAAAGTATCAAAGTTATCACCATAGTCAACTAAAGTTAAATCAATTGAATATAATATCTTTTATTCGGGTTACAACACCTGTCCAAACTCCTTTTAAAGATTATTTTAGTCATAATACTATGATAATAATTTTGAGATGATCCACATCTTTGACACATTTTATACACAATTTGCCAAATTATCTTAATTGTCTAAAAACTTTAAGGTTTATTTTTAGTCTTAATACTGGGTGTGTGACTTTTATATTTTATTAGCTCACCTGAGCAGAAGGCTCAAATGAGCTATTCGGATCACATTTTGTCCGTCTGTCCGTCTCTCTGTTTGTCTGTCTGTCCGTCCGTCTGTAAACTTTTCATATTTTTGACTTCTTCTCAAGAACTAATGGGCCAATTTTGACCAAACTAGGTTTAAAACATCTTTGGGTGAAGGAAAATTTAAATTATTAAAATAAAGGGCCAAGATCCCCTTAGGGGAGATAACCAAGAAAAGACAAAAAATAGGATGGGATTATTAAAAAATCTTCTTCTCAAGAACCACTGGGCTAGAAAAGCTGAAATTTATGTGAAAACATACTTTGGTGGTGTAAATTCAAAAATGTCCAATTCATGACCCCCAGGGGTTTGGGTGGGGCCACAATGGGGAATCAAAGAAACATTTGAAAATTTTTTGAAAATCCTCTTCTCAAGAACCAATGAGCCAAAAAACTGAAAATTATATGACACTAACTTTTCTATTGTCAACTTCCCTTACTTTGCAGCAATATACCTTCATCACCTGCATACGGAGATTATATATCTCAGTTGATTCGATACGCAATAGCATGCTCTACGTATGAACAATTTCTTAAACGAGGTAACCTATTGACAAGCAAGTTGATGAAACAAGAATATCAACAGTCTCGTTTAAAGACATCATTTCGTAAATTCTATGGTCGATTCAATAACCTTGTTAGCAATTACAATTTATCATTGAATGAAATGCTGACTGACGTTTTTCATACCAATTGTTAGTCCATTATTTATACACTGAATTGACGATGGATTTTTTCTGTTATTTTCTGATTATGACAACGAGCACACGGCGGGTGTGACCGGTCGGCAGGGGATGCTCACTCCTCCATGGTACCTGATCCTACCTCTGATGTTTCGGAGGTCCGTGTTTGCTCTGCTCTTATTTTGTATATTGTTTAATGGACGTTGAGATTGAATACTGTTCGTTATTTCCATATCCTTCATGGAAGCATCCTGGGGTGGTAAAGATTCTAAATTGTACAAATCATGACCCCTATGGGTTGGGCGAGGCCACAATGCGGAATCAAAGTTTTATATAGAAATATATTGGAAAAATCTTTAGATATCTTCTTCTGAAGAACCACTGGGACAGGAAAGCTGAACTTATATGGAAACATTCTAAGGTGATGTAGATTCTAAATTGATCAAATGATGACCCCTGGGGGTAGGGCGGGTCCACAATGGGGAATCAAAGTTTTATATAGAAATATATAGGAAAAATCTTTAAAAATCTTCTTATCAAGAACCACCTGCCCAGAAAACTGAAACTTATGTTAAAGCATCCTGGGATAGTGTAGATTTCAAATTGTCTAAATTACGATCAGTGGGTAGGATGGGGTGACAATATGTATTACAAGGGGAATTATTGTAAAGAACAGAATGGTCAAAGCTTCTCAGGTGAGCGATGTGGCCCAAGGGCTTCTTGTTTTTAGAGCTGTAGCATTTTTGGAATATTTAACCACAAATCAGAACAACCTACATTGAATTGTGGTAGTTTGTTGGATGTATAAATGTTTTATATATTTTTGGGCATACTAATTTGTCATTTATTTAAAAATAAATGAATTACAATTTTAATTCATCAACAATTAGTTGAGTTTTCTTGTTTCAAACTGAGCACTTTTATAGCAGTTATCAATAAAGGATTTTCCTCAATTTGATCGTTTATCTTTTCGAACTTTGGAAGTAGTACATATTGTTTCTACATATAAATAGGTTATCGATGGTGCAGAGTATTTAGATGTGAAATAATTGCTGCATTATCTATCACAGTTAAGAAGATCATTTGTGGACCTCTACCATTGGTAACTTGTAAGTCTATTTCATTTGTTTGTATGTTAATAAGGGTGTGCTGAATTTTATTGATATATTTTATTTTTTTTTTCTGTTCTTTTTAACCATTGTTGTAATTTTAGTTTTTTTTTCTATTTTGTATGACCTGTCACGTAGCCTCATGGTAGGGCGTTCGCTACGATATGGGGGGTGAGTGGGTGGGGGTGATTGGGTGGGGATGCCGGGTTCAATTCTTGTCCCTGCGCCGTGTCAGATTTAAGGCGTAATAATATTCCTTACTGAAGCGAGCGGCATTCATAGTGAAAATCGACGGTCTTTCGGATGAGACCTAAATAACCGAGATTGTCACCGTAGTTGTTGACACGAAAAGAATAGTAACTGCTAAATCTCCGCAAGTGTCTAGCTCTAAAATTAATGCTTTTGTTGGCATTGAGTGACTTTTTAATATGTGAAAAAAATCCGCAAATGGGACGCTGATCAACATACAATTAAATGCATTTTTTCAAAAACCATAATTACTATTTTATTCATCTTGTATGTGTGTATGTTTTTCTACTCATAGCTGAACAGAGAAACGAACAAAAGGACAGGACAAAAAGTATTCATATATACTGTAGATCACTAAATTTTCACGACACCTTCTTTTGCGAAATAGTCATTGACTCTTCATAAGCAAGACAAACTTTTCACGAATTGTGGTTATTGCTCTACATAATCCTAAAGAACACTATAATAGTATTAAACAACTGAAATTTCGCGTACACGGTCTCACTGTAAGAAAGAACCTAATAGTATTACGTGATTGTTCATTTCTCGCAAAAAAAAAAAAAAACAAATAGTACCATAACACCTTTTCTCCGTTAAATGATTACTATTGAACCATATCGTTTTGTTTGTATTTTAATTTTTTATTCTGATTTTTATTTTTTGGTTTCTGTCAATGCTCACTAATAGGGAATACGAATCAGAAAATGTCAACCTCAACTGAGAAGGATCAATGTGATCATGGAACAATGGACATTAAAAGTAAGTCATTAATAGGATAACTTTTTTTTAATTTTACATTTCACAATTCATTAATAATCATTTAAAATTAGCTTGATTTTAGAATGAAGGGAATGATATAATAATTGTATAATTTGATAATTTACTTTTGAAACAGTATAGTTTTAATTGAGTCAAAGTTTCGCAAATTCTATGGTATACATGTATACAATGTACGTGTTATCAAATACAATCTTTCATTTATCTAATTGAATACTGAAGATTGTCACACAATTTGCATTGCCATGGCTTTCACACTATTGTTAACGGGTACTTCCATTTGCCCTATCATAACATTGATCACTGTTACAACGCACTTTCAAATATTACGCACTTAGAAAATAGTTTTTCGAAGTGCGTTAAATTTTGGACCAAATCAACGCACTTTGAAAAAAAAGTATGACTCGGTCAATATTCTTGCAAATCTTAGGTATAATGAATAAATGAAACTGTTTGGGAATTCTTTGGTAATGAGGTCACTTCAGTATATGAAAGTGAACAATTTTGATTTTTTCATACTTTGAATTATCTTTTACATACAAATATTTTTCTGTACCTAATTTTTTCCAGTTGGCATGCATTTTATGTAAACTTTCAAAGTCATACCAGTGTATATTTGGGTGTAGCATATATAGGCATCTGTACCAGGAGGGGGATTAGGCACACAAATGTTTTGCAAAGATACACATAATATAGGCATTGAAAATAGGAACTTACCTTGGGGGTAGTGTCCACTTTCAATTTGCTACCGACAGTTATATACAATGTATAAGAAAAAAGAGTTGGGCCTAGGGACATTCTACTCATCGTCTCCTTGTTTTCAATGAGGTTAAATGAAGACATGTTAATGAAACAGTTTTTCGCGAGATATAGTTACTACAAATTGATTCTATTTAGTACTAAAATCTAAGTAAAGATGTTTTATACGTATTTTTCAAAGTGCGTTAAATGTCCCCATGGTAAAAATTGTATATGTACACTCTTAATGCATTTTGATTTTTTTTTTCAAAGTGCATTGATTTTGTCCCAATATTAACGCACTTTGAAAAATTTTTCAAAGTGCAATTTTTTTTCAAAGTGCGTTGCCACAGAGCATGCAGTGCTGATCAACAAGGAATGCTAATTTTTCCATTTGACCAATCCGACCTCAGGTGCTTTAATGTAATGGTTTCATTTAAGATAAGCTTTCAAAGATACCGATTTCCAAAAGAAAAGGAGTAACATTCAATAGACTTTACAAAACAATGTCTCATTAATTAATGTTTCTAATATGTACTTAATATATAGGAAATGTAGGAAGAACCTACATCTATATGTAGGATCAACTCTTTCGTTTGGTTTAATTTTGTTTCGTTGTTTCGTTTTCATGTCCTTAAAGCTTATAAAGATTTATAAAAAAAATAATGCATCTGTAATTTTAGTTCGGATTCTCGCTATATCTTATACCTCTTTATGAAAAGCCCGACCTAGTCACTGTTCAGCAAATATAATCAGTCGACAACACTCAGTAAATAACAAAAAAATTCAAATGTCCAATGCAGGAAAGTAAGATACAAAAGAAACAATTATAGTTGTAAAGGCCAGTGCAGTATAAAAGCATACTCGGATATACAGAACAAGATACATGTAAAATGTTAAGATATTAAAGAGATGATTTATTGCTGATTGACAACATCTACATGTATGCTGTATTGAGTTTTACTAAAGGTCGTAAATTTTGCCGTAGACGTAGAAGTGAAGATAGACTCTACGACTGAATTTACGTGAGCGTAGAAGGCGTTTTACTCAAGGTCGTATCTACGTTATCTACGTTCGTAAACGTAGATCGTGACGTAACTTTCCACGTGCACGTAGTTTACGACTGGAACTCTTCAAAAAAGAAGTTGAAAAGTGATTAGCAATGTATGTTGCGCATACCCAATGCTACTTCCGTGTTCGTCTGCAATACTAGAGGAGAAAATGAAGAAAAAGACTCCATAAGCCGAGTTGGAATGATCTCGAGATGGAGGTTTTATTTGAGGCCTGCGCTTTGTTAGTAAAAGTCATCTGTGGTAAGCTGTTTTCCGGGTTTACCACGGATTCAAAGAAAAAATCCTGGGAGGCAATTACGAACAAGTAAGTTATAAACTATCGTAATTATTTGACCTTCTAAAAGCGTAATCTCTCTCTCTCTCTCTCTCTCTCTCTCTCTCTCTCTCTCTCTCTCTCTGAACTTTTAATGCGACTCTTTTGTGTTATTTGAGAGAAAAAATTATTGTTTTTATTTAAGCCCCCTTTTGCTACTGGGATGGACACAATTTTTATAATTGGAGTCTATCACAGAGCTTAAATGCACTTGATTACTTTGTAAAACGATTACGATGTACAATGTATTTCAACATGCTGATATCTTTCCTAGAAGCTTTAATCGGGGTTATGTGTAATAATTATAACTTTCATACTGAAGACTTGTCATCCTTTGAAGTGTAAGCATAGATGTGTTTTGATATGTACATCTTTTGTGAATTATTTACTAAGCTAAATATTGATAATGTTAATAGTCATCCTGGAATATACTTTGAAGGCTTTGACACATTGACAATACTGCTAACGTGGTTATATTGACGAGTTGAAAAATTGACTATTTTTTGTTTTTGAAAATTGACGATTGTTAATTTTGACGTAATATTTAATCAAGATGTATATGTATCTTTGAATTCACGGGAATAAAAAGGCAAAATTCATCAAAATTTTAATTTTTTTACAGACCATCTACAATGTGTAAGATTGTACAATCTTTAGTGTGTAAGATTTGATTAAATGAATTGCCTTCTTGTAATTTGTTTTCATTTGAAGTGGTCAATTGCCTGAGGTGACAAATTAGATCAAACACGACGTGATAATTACGCAAGGTTATTACGCATGAAGCATCTGAAACACTAGTTTAGATTCAATGATTTAAAAAAATGTTATTATATTTTACTGTGTTTTCATAACTTATTACAAAGGAAATTAACAATCACTTTGATCTAGTTTTAATATACGCGTAGGGAAAACCCGAGAAAATTAAGCGGTAATGTTGTACAATGGTCAATGTCTGTTGTGACGCTATATATATATGATATGAAGTTTGACGGGTGTACATTTTGACGAGAAAAGAAAAATCGTTAATGTAGTCAAAATTAGGACACTGTCAAAATTTCCACGTTTACAGTATTTGTGGTTTAATTAATCTGAATGTCATGGTGCAAAAATTTATTTCTATAGTAGCCAATTAGTGTCATTAAGCGTTTTTATATTGTTCCTATTTATCCTCATTGATTTCTTTTTAAATTTAAAGAAACAGTTAAAAATTAGTAAGTCAAGACATTTTGTTTGGCATTTAATGCGTTTATTTGTAAATTTTGTTTATAATACTTTTACAAAGTGCATGTACACACACATACAACACTCACCAGAGTTGTTGCCTATGTATCGTATGTTGGGTCAGCTATTTGCACGGAGGCTAGACCAGGGTGTTCTTACAAGACAGAACTGTAGTTCTACAATGTTGACACATCATTAAAATATATCATGATTTAAATATGATATGAACATGGTGTAATGTGTGTATGTACTTTCAATATGATTAAATTTAATGAGATATGTATGTGTGTTGTGTTTGTCTATTTGTTTTCGATGCACTGCATGCACACATGAATTAATGCTTCGCTACAGCCTACATGTACACCCATACGCATGGCCTCTCCATAATATATTTCTGTTGTGCCACTTCAAAATTGGCTATTTTGACAAAAATTATAACCATTATTCCATAATACGTAAAATGTATCTTTTACATTAATCAATAGGTATAATACAAATTAAGTAGTATTAAGCAACTGTATCTTGTACCAGATCAGAGCTTTCTGTGAAAAGAGAAAGAATAGATGCGTACAAGGCGAGGACAATGCCCCGCTTTGAGAAAAAAAAAACATTTCTCAATTCTTAAAGTTGTATTTTTAAAAATGTTACTGTTATATCACTTTCCACAAATTTTATCCTGTTTTTCATTAATATAATATTTTATCTAAAATTTATTTTTCACTCAAGTTTTTATGAAATAACAAAAAAGAAAAAGCTTCACGTTCGAATTCTCTCCATAGCTCAGGGTTTGGTCCAAGACCGTGACCGCTTTAACCACTACGTTATGAAGTTACGTGCAATATCGACGTTTGCCAGTGTTATTTAAATGAAAGAGTTTGTTGAAGCGTACTTTTTTTTCAAAAATTTTGGATTTTCATATAGAATGGGTTGGGATTCCATTTTTTGGACGAATGGAATAGATTTCACATTTATGTTTCCATCTTTAAAGCGTTAATGAAAAATTGATACTTGACCCATTCATGTTTAAAATTCATTTTTTATAGCTCTTATGAACTCATTTTCACTAAATATGCTTAACTGTCAACTTTGAAATAAAGATCATCATATAAAAAGTCGTTCAGTAAACTTTCTCTCTGAAAGTATGAATAATTTCATGGACAGGTGCAAATTTATTACTGATTTGGGAACTCTCCAAGGGGGAACAATATTTCATCAACTTCCATATTGTTTATATTTGTGATGGAAGTACCTGCAGCTGTGAAGGAATTTAAGGGGACCTTTTCATTATGGGTCATAAATAGGCATCAACTTCATTGATCAATTCTAGTACATAGAACTCTCCTAGGAAATCTGTATTTAGTCCAACACTTCTGGAGGTTGACTTCTGTAATACACGTTCTATAAGAAATGCTCGTCGAAGAAACAAACTGATGCCATTTTTGTAAAGCTATGTGCGTTTCTACGACTTCTACAGGGAACCCTTTGATTTTCCCGTAAATCTACGCTAAAACGATACGAGTTTATTGTTAAAGGCAAAATCGGCGTAAGTTACGGCTACGTCTACGCTTACGTCTACATTTTGACTTTAGTAAAACTGGTCTTCCAACAATCTTTCAACTTTCCCATGGGTATTAATTGCACTCAATTATTATTAGATTATTTTGTATTCATATGAGGCAGACTGTATTTGATAGAATGTACACGAGATGAAGAAGATATACTTGTTGTGGTCTTTAACTCGACATTAAGATATTTTTACAAACCCGTATCATTTTAAAATCGTTATTATAATTCAACCATCAACTTTATATATCAAAGTGATCTTTAAATAAACGTTTCCATAGAGTCTGACAAATATGTTTTACACTACTATAGTTCTTTTTGGGGGGAGGGTATTTCTTTATTGGTTCTTTCTCCATATAAAATATGAATAATAATCTATTATAATTTTCTAAATTATTTGGGACTTATTATCGGGAAAAAATAATTTACATAGGCGTAAACAATTCATAGTTGCCCACATAACTATGCCAATTGTTAGCAGACCACAATTTTTCCTAAACAGACCACATGTGATGATTTATTTATTTCTTGCAATAAACTTTGAAACATATTTGATATATTTCAATGTCAATTCCTATTTTTTAAACATGGAGCTTGCATAAATTCTTCAAAATCATTTCAGTGGAAAAGAGGGGAGAACCACGGGAGAAAGGATCTACGAAACCTAAAGTTCTCTACTACAAAAGTAAGTCACTGTAAAATTACACTACTAATCGAACGGATGTGATGAACTAATAAGATTCGTAATCAATTTAATCCCAAGCTTTGCGATTTAAGAAAACATAGGTAAAGTTAACATTCAAAAAACAGTGTAATCATTTATCATAAATTTAAAGATGCATAAAATTGAATGTATTGAACAAGAAATTCAATGAAACAATAAGGTAATATGTGACTTGGGTTCAGAGCAACATTGATTACTCAGAGCAAAAGACAATATTTTAAGCCTGAGGGGTAAAAATAATCAGTTTAGCAAAAATTATTATTAAATATCTAATCTTGTTGTCGCCCGCGTGGCGTAGTGGTTGGAGCGTCTCCTCTAGAGTCGTAGAGTAGAGAGTTGATCCTAATGTTGCTAGTTCGAGAGGGACGGTAAATAATACACAATCAGTCAATCCATGTATCTATGTAATTCCTCTGAAACACGCAGCACTGTTAAGGCTTACTATGAGAAATCAACGGACAATAAAAGTGCAAAAACGGGGATTGTTTTTAAAACTGAATTTATTTTTATTCAGCTGTTCTATTATCACAGAACTTAAATACTAATGGAAATAGCATAGTATAACCTACTCTGTGCTCTTCGGAGTTTGGTCCCATCGATGGACAGTCACGTGATGAATGCATTGTAGGTACATGGAATGTATGTCAATAACAAATTTCAATATTGCAAGGGCATAACCTAGATGAAATTAAAAATTCAAACAATCAATTGTTTCTGCATACTTTGTAGTTTCTGGAAAGTGCTGCTGCTTTGAATAGAATTTGCGTTTTAATAGTTATAATTTCAAGTAAATAGGCTGATGTCGAAATATGTTTGACTTTTACCAAATATTTTGTATACTTATGAAGTCATGCCTTCGATTTAAAGAAAGCAGCAGCAATTTTCAAGTTAAGAAACATAATCTTTATTTATATTATAAAAAATAGTCAAGATTTATTTAGTGTATGCCCTTGCGAAAAAGCGATTTTATGAGGCACGTCGATGTAAAATATACCTAACCGGAACATTAAAACACGACAGAATGATTTAACTACATTCTCTTGATAGTTGATGAATAATCGCACTTAACAAAGGATATATATTGGTATTATCAGCCTATTAAAAACCCGTAAATAATACTAGGAGACTTATTGTTCGCAGAACAATAAGAGGTCTTTCCACCTTCTTTGAATTTCAATTTCATTTAATATTTATCTCTTTAAAATTAAATTTCATCAAAAAGAAACCAGGAATGGCTTAAAAGAAGAAAAAAGGGAAAAAATTCAAAATTTGGAGGTGACCTTGACCTTTGACCTTCAAGTAATTTTCAAGGTTAAAGGTCAAGGGTCACATTGTAATTAACCTCAGGTCTCTATGACGTATAGTTTTAAAGTTATAAGGTTTCATGGTAAGCACAAAAGAATTAAAGGGCAGTAACTCATTCAAGGAGTCACCAGATCCTTTCTCACTTGAACATAAAAGTTGTGCCTAAAGTCCCATAAGACATAAGTGAAGATTTCATGTCTTTACGATTTACTTTTTCGGAGCAATAGCAATTACAAGGTTTTTCGCAAAAGGGGCAATAACTTTTAATAGGGTCAATCTTAAGGGACAAGAATGAAATCTTTGAAATAGGTTTAAGAGTACATATCAATGATGCAAAGACATTAAGTATATGTTAAAAGACAAAAAAAGATGTAAAAAGAGCTTCATTTCTCAATTTTGGAATGACTTTGACCTTTGACCTTTACATGAATTTTATGAGCAAAGGTTAATGAATCTTATGCAGTTAGTCCCATCTCTTTACGACTTCTCATTTTGAAAATTTTTAATTATTTGTACAATTCAAAGATTTTCAGGGGCAATAACTCATTGAAGGGGTCACCGAATATTTTCGCAATGAATAGATTCCAGAGTCTTCTAAAGGAGTCGAAAATATTAGTGAAGGTTTTATGTCTCTGCGGTTTACGGTTTCGAAGTAGTTGCAATAACAAGGTTTTTTGCACAAAGGGCAATAACTTTTAATAGGGTCAATTTTAAGGGATACGAATAAAATCTTTAAAATAGTTTTAAAAGTGCATAATAATGATGCTAAGACAGTTTGTATATGTTAAAAGACAAAAAAAGATATAAAAAGAGCTTAATTTCTCAATTTTGGAATAACCTTGACCTTTGACCTTTACATGAATTTTAAGATCAAAGGTCAATGAATCTAATGCAGTTAGTCCCATGTCGCTACGACTTCTCGTTTTGAAAAGATTTAATTATTTTTAAAATTCAAAAACTTTCAGGGGCTATAACTCATTGAAGGGGTCACCGAATACTTTTGCAATGAATAAATTCCAGAGTCCCTTCAAGTAGTCGAAGACATTGGTGAAGGTTTCATTCTTCTATGTATTACGGTTTCGGAGGAGTAGCGATAACAAGCATTTCTTGCGAAAGGGGCAATAACTTTGAAAGTGGTCATAGTTCATACGCGTTGGGTCAAATTTGTTCCTAACTTTTAATGACCTTTACGATGAACAAAAAGTCTTTTCGATAAATGTCGAAACAAAAAATCAGCGGAAGAAAAATAATAGGAATAACTAGTAGACTAATTGTTCAGAGAACAATTAGAGGTCATTTCCACCTTTCTAAGTGTTTCCGTGTCATTTGAATTAAAAAAAAAAAAAAAAAAAAAAATTAAAAATGCTGCCAGCAGGATTCGAACTGTGGACCCTCAGATTGCCAGGCGAGCGCTCTATTCACTACGCCACAGGCGCTCCGATGAAATTGTTTTCCGTAAACTAATAGTGTAGAAAAAGGAAGAAATGAAAGCACGTGAATAGTTTTAAATAGTACAGAAACACGTGTATTTATTTGTTTGTGATGGAACATAGAGAGGAATAATGAATAGTTCTGAGAAAAACGATTGGTGGATAATGAAAATGGAGATTTCCTATTACAAAAAATCATTTGAGTTTGTTTGTAGTTTGAACAGATTGAGTTAATCATACAGAGCTTATGATACATTCGAACTTCCGTGTCGGCACTGTGTTTACAATTTGTTAAATTTAGGCGCGTTCGTTTTGACAGAGATGGCGAACTCATAGGTAATATAAAATAATCCTCTCTATTTGGATTGAATTAATAGTTATGAGCATAGATTAAACTTGAAACATGCATTTCATGTAGAAAACGGTTTCACGGAGAGCATGGAAATTTATTTTATGTGAAAAATCGCTATTTCTGAGATTCAGTGGATTCATATTTAAATCTAAATAAAATTAAAATAAATTCCATACACCTAAGAAAGCAAGAATACTTGGTATTAAAATGTCGTAACAGAGCAGGAGAATCGAATGATATTAACAATAATTGCAGAAATAGCCAATACGAGCCTTAATTAATTGTTATGCTCAGCAATAACTAAATTTCAGACAGAAAAAAAATGCACATTTTGCCGATATTCACTAGAATTTCAAAATACTTTAGAGACTCACCTTAAAACTCTCAGGACACTTTCTTTCAGGTCTCTTCTTCCTTTTATTACGAATCTTATGCCGATATTTCGTTTCATTTGACTTGTAGACATTTTCTCTAAGTTGGTGTTGATTTTTTTTTATGGGGTGGGGGTGGGGGGCGGTATTTTATAAGCATTTGTTAGAGTGATGGTTGTAAATACCTCCACGACCTTTAGCTTGATTGTGACCTTTGGGTCAATGGGGCCAAAGGTCAAGGTCATTTATCAAGGTCAAAGGTCAAGGTCATCACAAGAGAGAAAGAGAGAGAGAGGTAAACTTGAGATTAACACTTGAAGCTGAATCTAGATAAAGGTAATGAATATTTCTTTTGAGTAAGGGTCAAGGTCAGAAGTCAAGGTCAATGTTAAATATCAAGGTCAAAGGTCAAGGTCATTTGGATTTTAAGCTTAAATTGACAATTTCTCTAGTTTTCTAATGACCTTGACCTTTGACCTTGACCTACTTTCAAGGTCAAAGGTCAAAAGATCTCATGCACTTGGTCCCATATCTTTACCACTTGTCCTTTAAAAGTTTTTAATTTTTCCTGTAAGCTTTAAGACTTATTGAGACAATAACTCATTGAAGGAGTCACCGAATACTTTTGCAATGAATAGATTCCAGAGTCCTCTCAATAGATCCAAGACATTGGTGAAGGTTTCATACCTCTACGGTTTACGGTTTCAAAGGAGTAGCGATAACAAACATTTCTTGCGAAAGGGGCAATAACTTTGAAAGGGGTCAAAGTTCAAACTTCTTGGGTCGTTTTTCGGAATAACTTTTTATATCCAATATAATGAATTATAACGTTTTTCAATAAGTCTTACGGTTTCAAAAGCTCGGCAGAAAAAGAATAATAATAACTAGGAGACTTATTGTTCAAAGAACAATAAGAGGTCTTTCCACCTTTCGAATTTCAATTTCATTTAATATTTATCTATTTGAAATTAAATTTCATAAAAAAGAAACCAGGAATGGCTTAAAAGAAGAAAAAAAAATGAAAATGAAAATTTTTTAGGTGACCTTGACCTTTGACCTTCAAGTCATATTCAAGGTCAAAGGTCAAGAGTCACATTGTAATTAACCCCATGTCTCTATGACTGATAGTTTTAAAGTTATAAGGTTTAATAGTAAGCACAAAATCATTTAAGGGCAGTAACTCATTCAAGGAGTCACCAGATCCTTTCTCACTTGAACATAAACGTTTTGCCTAAAGTCCCATAAGACATTAGAGAAGGTTTCATGTCTTAGCGGGTTACGGTTTTGGAGAAATAGCAATAAAAATGTTTTTCGCACAAGGGGCAATAACTTTTAATAGCGTCAATCTTAAGGGACAACAATGAAATCTTTATCACAGTTTTAAGAGTACATATTAATGATGCATAGACATTAAGCATATGTTGAAAGACAAAAGACATATAAAAAGAGCTATATTTCTCAGTTTTGGAATGACCTTGACCTTTGACCTTTACATGAATTTTA